TGATTTGTTTTCAGATCTTTGAGAAAAGGATTGTCGGTCATTTAGTTGAACGTGTGTTCTCGACCAAGAACGCAAAAATGGAGTAAGTTTTCGGAATTTAATTCTTTTCAAGCATTAGATTTTGCAGGAGGATTTGTCTTTGGATGATGATGAAAAACATATTGAATAAAATACGTTCCATCGTAATAAGCTGTCTGCTAAAAGAAAAAGAATAATTACATAGGATTTTAAGCTTGTTTGATTGACTAAACATCAAAACACTTCTTGATAGTAATTGAGATTGTAGATAGCGAGAATTGCATCGTTGAGATACCATCGTCCCTCGTCCTTGAAGAATCTGAACTGCAGATCTTATATGAACTATAATATTGATGTGATTCTCCTGGAAGAAGGTCCATGATGTAATTGTTTACCTCATCAACAACATCATTAGTAGGACAAAGTATCGCACGTTCCTTGAAATAGTCCCCATCATCAAGATTCTGAAGCAAAGACGGATATGTGCTAAGTGCGATTGAATTGATTGGATCCAAAGAGTCTTTGAGAAGCATATCCTCTGGTATATCTATCTCCGCTTCACCGTTGTTTGGCTCAGAAAGTTTACCGTCTCCAAGTTTTAGTATCCACTCAGAAAACTCTTTAATGATATCCACTTCTAATGGATCTGACTCCACAGTTAGTCGCATGTTCTTAGTAATTGATAATACCATTTGTAATATCACTCAAGCTATTAGGTGAAACTCTGTTTGGTTGCATTGGTGATATGGGGTTAGCTTCAGAATTAGGAGGAATGTTTTCTGTATATATAAGATAGAAAAAACGTTAAAGCAACCATTGGTTTGCAGAAATGAAATAGATTAATAGGTTTTTTGATTTAGTATTACCCTGATTTTCTGTTTGATTGTTTTTCTTCTTGGAACGAATAGCCATCCTCTCCACCCTTCTTTCTTTGCTGTTGATGATTTCATTTATATTGGCCTTCGATGATAAAGAGTTTTGTTTAATACAAATCAATTTCAGGTTGATGTCAAGAGTAGAGAATCAATAAATATGGAAATTTGACAGAAGTTAAAAACCTATGAAGGAGGTAATGGTGGAGAAACACTTGACAGGATCCGGCGGTAGAAGATGATAACTGTCGATTGTAAAAGTTAATGGTGGGAACAATACAAAATAGATATTGAGATCGTGGGGTCTGAGATATATAATGGTTGTATTTTTATTTTCATTTTTCTTTTAACACGTATCTTTATACGGACTACATAGAATTTCTTACATCATGGACTATATTATCAACATATATATAAATGGTTTTCTTATTATAGTGTCTTCGTAGTCATGATCCCTAAAAGAAGAATTTTCGAAGTCAAGTTTGATAGAATAAGTCATAACGACGTTTTATTCGTAGTCTTGATCACTAACTACTAATAAATCGGTCATAAGTCTATATATATTTTTCTGATTAAATACGGATCGTGAAAAGTTATCAATTTGAAAGTTAACATGGCTTAAAACTAAAAAGAAAAACGCAAATTAAAAAGTGATAATCCTAAGTCCTAACATCTGAAATCCTAAGTCCTAAGAAAAAGTGAGAATCCTAAATCCTAAGTCCTAACATAGTAAAATAAGAGAGACGACAGTTTTAAGTACAATCATTTCTTTTCCTTCTTAATCTGAGCCTTGGACATTAGCTTAGGCTTCGTTGATGATTGTTGAACATCTTTAGATGTTGCCAAGGATCTTTTAGTTGTAGGCTTTGGAGTGGAAACGTTATAAGCGTTGTCTTCATTGTTGTCTAATTTTTCCACATCAACAAAGTTAATTTCAGCCTGCAAGAAAAGATAAAAATAAGTAATAGTAAAAGGATATGGATAAGTGATAAATTGAGTTTACAACTTGAGTTGAGGTCCCGATTGAAGTCCCCACTGAATTTCCAGAGACAGTGATTATTTCTTGTTCAATAGCATTCTAAAAGCAACAAACAAAAGCAAATAAGAAGAATGAATATACTAATGGA